CCCAACCAGAGCAAAAAATAGAGACATTGTGAAAATATCCACGACGATTCAAGGAATGGTAAGAGATTTTGGTCAGATACCAAAATATAAAGTTGAAAGTTCTGAGGTCCTCACAGTACACACAAACCATTTATGAAGTTAGTATAGTGTTTCAAGACATGGGGAAAAACGAGGAAGTCCCAACAAAAATTTAACCAAGAAAAAGCTGACAAAGACAACATAAAATCTAGTACTTAAACACTCAAAACGTTTTATACACAATTAAGGGCACTAATGCTAGTAATTTCGTTCCCATGATGCCAAGACAAAATGAAACTTACTTCAGAAATACGACGTTGTTTTGTAGAATGTGCCTCAAATATCACCTGAGCATCAGCAGAACTTCTTTTGACCGTACTGCTTTCGCCTCCACTTTCATTACGGCCAAAGTTCTGCTGCACTCGTTTCATTTCTTTCGACTGCAAAAACTCTTCAACTTGACAACTGTCACTTTTAAAATAATCCGGCACCATTCCGACAGACGTTTTTGGTATGTCCAAGCTTGAAGCACCAACATTATCGTACGCAGCCGACATTCCAAGTTGGAGTTGTTCACCTAGCAAAAACGACTGATATTAAACGTACTGGCAAAACCATTAAGCTTTAAGACATTTCCACAATTAAAAAAGCTTCAAAAGAAATATAGCAAAGTAAACCTGGTATGTAAGAACGGTCGCTGATATTACAAACAGGAGCAGCAACAATGGGGACAGAATTCAATGGCCGCATTTCATCTTCTACAGCATCCGAATTGTCAAAGTCACTAGGTTTCTCAATCAACGGCCGAATCTAAATAAACATAAATAGAGATTTTGAAAAAAAATTAAATCAAATAACGCACTTTGTTGGGGCTAGATATGCTGCCAGTAAATAAAAACTCTTCAAAACCACCATATTCTTCACAGTGAAGAAAAGATTCAGCTACAACATGAAAAACGATGCTTTCCTAAAGTATTTCCGCTCCAAGACGCGCTGAATTACAAAATAACCTGAATGACATCAGTCAACCGCGATCGCTTTAATTGTATTTTCTTCGTATTGTTTCATTTGTTCTGATCAGAATTGAAGACAACTTCGGAGAAGTATTATATGCTAATACATGTGGCAAAACTAATAAAATTTTGTCAAGATGGACAGTTAATTTACAGGACTGTGAGGTATAATAAAGGTGATGTTAAACTTAACTAGAACAGTATCAGAAGAGGGGGGATATGTCCATGAAATGCAACAGAACAAACTCACTACAAGTTGGCTTAAGTTACGGTAGCACAAGGTCAAGGATCCTTCAAAATCATTTTTGCCAAGAATAAAGAAATTTTTTGCTTTTGTTCACTTAACAAATAGATCCCAAATTATCCATTTACTTTTCTATAAGCAACCAACCACCACCTTCGGCGCCAACTGGAAACTATTCTTCCTTCATAGTTCCACCTCAGTGGCAAAGTTGCGATAAGAAAATATCGCAAAAATTAATGACCTAACAAAACAAGACCATATCAACTCAAACATTAAAATTCTTAGAATGTGAATGTTTCAATAGAAAAAATGAGAAACAATAATCCTGAAATGGTCGATACAAGATTGCATACATTCGGCACTCCAAGTCGGTAAGCCATTTGGAGTCGCAGAGTACTGGAATCAAAATTCTTTTTCAACACTTCGATGTCCATGCGTTTCTTACCATAAACTTCTTCTCGCAGTTGTTTCACCATACGCTGCTGTTTTATAGGGATTGATGGAACATACTTCATAATTCCTCTTTTGCATAGTTCTGCAGCTAATACTTCTAGATACTGCTTTCTATTGTAGCGCAAATTATACCAGGCCATCTGCTCAAGAAAAAAAAATTAAATACTCAAAAAGTTTAACTCCTAAAGAAAAAAGACTACATCTACCAGTAGCAGTCTTGAAAGTACTGAAAGGAACTTGAGCAAAAGTTTATACGTACAAATCCGTCTAGCGCAGTTCTACCTCCCAGGTGTACCTGTCGGTACCAATTGCAAGAATCAATGATAGAAGATGGGAAATGTTCTGGAGAAAAAGGAGTTGGCGTGCCCTCTCTAAAAGCTTCATTTTAACTAAATAACCAACTCAACAAAAGGATCTAAACACAACTCAAGGTTTATACGTGAAATAAGGCATAGGTAAGTAACAAAGAAAAATGTTTATTAAATTACAGTTTGAGTCCACGGCGAGAAATCCCTTCATCTGGCGATTCTTCTTTCAAGTTTTGTAAGAAATCGAAACAGTTTCCGCATTCATTTAGAAGCTGGAAAGAAATGAAATTCAGTTCACACTCAAGAAACAGATTTTGAAAGAATATTATAGACGGAACCTGGACGAAAAAAAAAACAAATAAAAATTGGAATTGCAAAAAACAAACTTCTTTTTCTTCAACTACACTTTCGGCAGCACTCCCTTCATCAGGTACGCGATATTTTTTGACTGACTTGCTCTGAAAATTTAATTCCCTTCCACAATCTGTTAAAATGATAAAAATAACTCTCTCCAATGTAAAATAAAAAACTTCCTAAACAAAAAATGAATGTTCACCGTAGGTCGGGAAAGGTCCTCAAACGGCACCACAGACGGGTCCACGGCTGGACACCGTTTTTTGATCTGTTTCTCAAGAACACTTTTTCTTTCTTCGATCTCTGTCTTACGCTTCAGTAATAAAGTTTGATGCTTTCGAGTTATGCGATTCATGGCACTCGACATTTGATTGGCTTCAACCTCATCATCGTTGTCAACCTCGCCTCCAGCTTCTTTCGGTGAATTTACTTTAATTCGTTCTTCCAACGACTCCCTCTCCCTGGCTAAACCCTCCATTAAAATTGTTTCTGAACAGCTTACGGTAGCAATACTCTTATGAACGTCCGAAACATCTCTGCCATCGAAATTTTGAAAACTAGTAGATTTTATAGAATCAAGGTTAGTTTCGTTACCATCTAGACCACTCGTTACGTCCACTACAGTAATGGTTTCTTCCCTTGGAACACTGGGGGCAGCATCTAAATTTAACCATAAGAGCTATAATTTGCCAGTGAATGAACTTATTTGAGTTAAACAGCTTCATTTCGTATTTCTGGAGTTCCAACTAAAATCATTCTAAACAATAAGATGAAACACTGTACCAACCACACTCAAACAGGATGCGCAAATAATCTATGTATTTCACAAAAAAATGCCAAGCTCTCAGGAAAATTATTGAGTAAGAACCTTGTGAAGTCGACGGACCATCGGACAAAGAGCCAGATTCTTCCACAACACATATATCCTTATCAATTTCATTAGATATTATGTCTCCGCTAGCTCCTTTTTTCTCTGATCCAAAAACATTACGCACCCCATCCAATTTGGTCTGTGTGTGCTAAAAACTTCTAGACTATCAAAAATAAATAAAATAAAGAAAATATACAGCCATAAACCAAATAAACCTAACATTTCCAGACGATGAAACAGGCAAAGTTTGATTGAGTCCTGCAATTTTTCTGGCTTGTGAATTCCCCTGAGACGATTTACTAATAGCCTTATCATCAAATGATAAGCAGTTCACTAGTTTTTGCTTCTGCAATTGACAATTGCTTTAAAACAGCAATTACAACAACAGTAATCAAACAACAGTAATCAAAACGGAATCCTTAATTTTAATTTGAAAAGTTGCTTAAAACAAGCGTATACATAACAAATTAATTAAGATTAAATAAGAGAAGAACAACAGCGGTAAAACGAACTTTACGACTACCAAAAGCCTTTCTTATGAAACCATTCTGAGGATCAAATAGCTTTGGATACAAATGCCAATACTCCGCAGGCAAAAGGTGGAAATTGGGAAGCGGAAAAAAGCCGTTCTGCAGTTGCTTCATAGATCTCTCTGTCCAAAAAACGTTTTCAGGCAGAAATGTAGGAAATTCGCAAGACTAAAATTGTT